ACAAGCGGAAAATAGAGACAGTTACGGTTTGTGTTTCCAGGGTTGTGATATTAGGCAGTAGTTTGAAGACCATTGTAATATAGGTTGTTAAAGATTGCGGTTACATCTTTGGTATAGAATGCGACCTTGATCTACCTGTATTCGACTTCGAGAGTTCTTGTGCTTCCTAAGCCCGTCCGGGGCTCCAGGAGTGTGTGATGACAACTTGCCAAATCGTTTCTTGAAAACCTCCACTTGATCAGGATAATTCCTTATCCTGATCTCGTCAAGTGGTAAGTAGTAGTAATGGCTTGGCTCTTTCTCCTGATAGTTTCGTTCCCCCTCCCACCTGTCCAACCACTTGGGTCGGACGGTAGAGCGACGGTCTCGCTTCTTGCAGGTCGGCGTTCAATCCCCGACCGTCCAAGTGGTTTGGCACCATTCCTTCCCCCCGTCCCATCCCAAATCTTTATCCTGACCCCTTTCCAGTGCTATATAGTTGTAATGGCTTGGCGCTTTCCCCCTGAAAGTTCCCTTCCCTTCCGTTCCCCCTCCCACCGCAGCCCTCTGTTTCCCACCAGACAGGTACTCTCTAAGCTCCTCGGCCAGTCGTACGTGTGTCATTTTCACCCTCCCAAAGACAAAACAAAATTAAAAAAAAACTCAAAGCTTTACTGTAGAAAATATATTTACAGCCGGTGAAAATGAGAAGCAAATAATATATAATATAGTTACTCCTTATCTCTTTGCGTTCATTTTCTTTTCTTATTTCTGGGTGACTTTAGTACTAATTGACATGGGAAGACACGGAGACAGGTACACAAGAGGGCCGTACGTACTGCCCGTAGTGTACGGCGGGCAGCCGTGGCAGCGAGACACGGCTGGCACCTGCAGGCAGACACGTAGAGTGAAGACATACCTGTAGTGGCAGTGTCGAGCAGCAGCAGCAGCAGCAGCAGCAGCAGAGGCGGCAGCGGCAGGGCGAGGCGGGATGACCCGGGTCTAGGGCAACACCTCGGGTGCGCGGTGGCCATCTTGTCTGTAGGAGGAGTGACAGTGGTAAGGCTGGGTCAGCACACACGCACGCACGCACGCACACACACACATCTCAAATGTAGACATGATAGAGCCCAGTAGGCTTAGGAATCTGAACACCAGTTGATTGACGGTTGAGAAGCGAGACCAAAGAGCCAGAGCTCAACCCCCGCAAGCACAACTAGGTGAGTATACAAAGTACTAAAGTGGGTGAATGGGTACCTATCAGGAGAAAGCCAGAGATTCACAGTAACAAGCAAGAAAGGTAATGTGCGGAGAACCAGAAGTACAGTGTACCCATGAGTACACTGTACCATAGAGTATGTTGTATCCTAAGAGTACACTGTGCCCTGCAGAACACTGAGCTCCGGAGTACCTTGCATCAGGAGTACACACATTACGGGAGTGGGTTCTGGAGGTTCTATTCCCCGAGCCCTGAGGCCCAGACTCGACTTGTGATAAGTGATTTCGAATCCTCGTCACGGCCCTTGTGGATTTGCTCGACTTGTGATAACTTGATCCAACCGGCTATTGTTGGAAGCGGTCCACAGACCTCTCATATCCACTACAATCCGCTTGGTCCGGCACTTTGACGACGGTACAACCGCCGTTGCATTTGTTAACGGTGCAATCCGTTGCACCTGTCGAAGCCTGAAGCTGTGGTTGTAGGGACAGTGGAACCTGCGTGCGTGTAGAGAGGATTCCCACCCCCTTTGTAACCCCTTTGTAACCGCTGATAACAAAGGCCACTTTGTCCTCACGACACAGCCTACAATCTCCACCCAACAGCTGAAGGAGGATTTGTCAGCCAATCGCCTGAGAGCTCTCGATTTGTAACGTAAATGATCATACCATCTGGGTATGTATCGGGTATATATACCTTGCTGGCGAGGGGTTGAGCTTTAGCCCTTGGGTCCCTCCTCTCAATATCCAATCAACTGGTGGTCACGTTCGTGGATATTTAGGATTCTGTTATAACTATACACTGGAGTCCCAATATGGCGTCTGCCTCGACCTCTTCATTTCCTAGTTCAGTTAGCTTCTCTGCCACACTTACACAGTACTCTATGTTATCGGCTCACAGTAATCTATGTTCCCGGCTCACAGTAGCTTATGTTCCCGGCTCACAGTAGCTTATGTTCCTGGCTCTTGTAGGCGTCTCAGCTGGTGGACCTGGCTCTTGTAGGCGTCTCAGCTGGTGGACCTGGCTCTTGTAGGCGTCTCAGCTGGTGGACCTGGCTCTTGTAGGCGTCTCAGCTGGTGAACCTGGCTCTTGTAGGTGTCTCAGCTGGTGGACCTGGCTCTTGTAGGCGTCTCAGCTGGTGGACCTGGCTCTTGTAGGCGTCTCAGCTGGTGGACCTGGCTCTTGTAGGCGTCTCAGCTGGTGGACCTGGCTCTTGTAGGTGTCTCAGCTGGTGGACCTGGCTCTTGTAGGTGTCTCAGCTGGTGGACCTGGACCTTACAGGCGCCTCAGCTGGTGGACCTGGATCTTACAGGCGCCTCAGCTGGTGGACCTGACTCTTGCAGGCGTCTCAGCCGCAATGCAAAACTTAATGTAAGCTGATAAGGGATGACAAGTGATGGACGGCATGCTAATGATACCATGACATTGACGAATGACTGTGTTGATGGTCATTAGTGCAACTGATGCCTACGCTACCATGAACTAATCTACCATGAACTAATCTACCATGAGCTACACTACCATGAGCTACGCAACCATGAGCTACACTACCATGAGCTACACTACCATGAGCTACACTACCATGAGCTACGCTACCATGAGCTACACTACCATGAACTACGCTACCATGAGCTACACTACCATGAGCTACGCTACCATGAGCTACACTACCATGAGCTACGCTACCATGAGCTACGCTACCATGAGCTACGCTACCATGAGCTACACTACCATGAGCTACGCTACCAGGAACTACGCAACCATGCCCAACAGAAACCCAAGCCCAGGGGATGCGTAGTCAACGACCGTCCGTTCCTTGGGGGGCGCCGTTCACCCCCCCCCCCCCCTGGAGACGCTGGTAATCAGGTGATCGGCGTTACCTGTGAATGATTTCGCGAGTTATTTTCTTCTATCGTAGCCTGGCGTGTGGCTGGCCTTCACTGGTGATTGCCTGGTCTGTGAGGATCTTTAATGACTTCGAAGCCAGGATCTTTGACTTCGAAGCCAGGATCTTTGACTTCGAAGCCAGGATCTTTGACTTCGAAGCCAGGATCTTTGACTTCGAAGCCAGGATCTTTGACTTCGAAGCCAGGATCTTTGACTTCGAAGCCAGGATCTTTGACTTCGAAGCCTGGATCTTTGACTTCGAAGCCAGGATCTTTGACTTCGAAGCCAGGATCTTTGACTTCGAAGCGACGATCTTTGACTTCGAAGCCCGAAGGCCCACAGCCATGATAGTCAGACAGATCCATAGTGAGAGAGAGAGAGAGAGAGAGAGAGAGAGAGAGAGAGAGAGAGAGAGAGAGAGAGAGAGAGAGAGAGAGAGAGAGAGAGAGAGAGAGAGAGAGAGAGAAAGAGAGAAAGAGAGAGAGAGAGAGAGAGAGAGAGAGAGAGAGAGAGAGAGAGAGAGAGAGAGAGAGAGAGAGAGAGAGAGAGAGAGAGAGAGAGAGAGAGAGAGAGAGAGAGAGAATGGCACACACATAAACAAAATATGTGGTCTGCCCCTGTAGCTAGTAGTCAGTACCAGTTGACTGATTGACAGTTGAGAGGCGGGCCGAAAGAGCAGAGCTCAACCCCCACCAAACACAACTAGATGAACACAACTAGATGAATACACACTAAAGTTACCGCGGGGCGAAGGGCCGCGTTACTCCCTTAATCCGGGTCAGTTCTTACACGCCAATAACTCCTTTTTTTGGTCGAGGTTGCGGCGCCAGCCTGACGAAGCAGCGACCCCCTCCAGTGTACACACGCTGCCAGGAATGAGGTCAACAGAGGTCACAGGTGGTCACAATTCGGAATTCAAGTAGATAATGGAGCCAGATACTGCGTCCTCACGAACACAGCCCGGCCTCATAAATAAAGCGTCTTCATTGAGAATCAGCGAATCACGACTCAGTATAACAAATCAGAACTTAAGATCTGAACCTAAGATCCGGACCTAAGATCCGGACCTAAGATCCGGACTTAAGATCTGAACCTAAGATCCGGACCTAAGATCTGAACCTAAGATCTGAACCTAAGATCTGAACCTAAGATCCGGACCTAAGATCTGAACCTAAGATCCGGACCTAAGATCTGAACCTAAGATCCGGATCTAAGACCTGAATCTAAGATCTGAACCTAAGATCCGGACCTAAGATCTGAACTTAAGATCTGAACCTAAGATCCGAACCTAAGATCTGAATCTACGATCTGAACCTAAGATCTAAACCTAAGATCTGAACCTAAGATCAGAACCTAAGATCTGAACCTAAGATCTGGACCTAAGATCCGATCCTAAGATCTGAACCTAAGATATGAAATTCAAATCTGAACTTAAGTATAATGACAATTCAAATTAGGACTAATAAATTAGAATACAGCAGGAGACGCGTCTATGAATAAGAGATAAGGGCGAGCCGCCAAGGTCCTGCTTGACCCTGGAGTGTGAGGTGTGAGGTAAGGAACCCTACCTTACAACATGAGGTTGACCTTTCCCCCCGCAGACCAGACCTCGCTGACCTGCTTGAACTTTAAGGTCAGCAGCAATAGAACTCGACTGATTGCACAACCTGTCCTCCATAGCACGTCGCATTTTGACGTACACTCTACCTAAGGCCAAAAAAACTGTCGTACTCGAAAATGGTCGCGGCTCTCGAAATTGACATTAGTGTCCCGTTTTCTGTTTTGGGTCCTCTGGTTGGTTAGGATAAGGGTCACTTGTGAATTTCCCAAGCTTGTATCTGGTTGATGGGGTTCTGGGAGTTCTTCTACTCCCCAAGCCCGGCCCGAGGCCAGGCTTGACTTGTGAGAGTTTGGTCCACCAGGTTGTTGCTTGGAGCGGCCCGCAGGCCCACATATACCTGGTTGATGGGGTTCTGGGAGTTCTTCTACTCCCCAAGCCCGGCCCGAGGCCAGGCTTGACTTGTGAGTGGCGTAACTTGCTTACCTAAATGAATTGTGGGGTTCAGTTCCTAAGCCCATTATGTGCCTCTGTAACCCTTTCCACTACTGGTCACAGGATGGGCATGGGGGTCCACTACCCGCCCCCTCACAAGATGGGTATGGGGTCCACTACCCGCCCCCTCACAAGATGGGTATGGGGTCCACTACCACCCTCACAAGATGGGTATGGGGTCCACTACCCGCCCCCTCACAAGATGGGTATGGGGTCCACTACCACCCTCACAAGATGGGTAAGGGGTCCACTACCCGCCCCCTCACAAGATGGGCATGGGGTCCACTTCCCCCCCCCATCCTCACAAGATGGGCCATGGGGTCCACTACCCCCCCCCCCTCACAAGATGGGCATGAGGCAGGATATAGAGACAAGCCAAGACTTAGCGGGCCGGGCGCTGATTGGTCGACACAAGCTTCGCCTTCTCTAATTGGCGTCAGCGAACTTAACTGCCCCATACACATATCTACCTCACTATCTCCAGATCTGAAGCGCTAATTACTGCCTCTCTTTATCTTTCCACGTTTCTCTAAAAACATGATCTTATCTTACCGTAAAACATTGCGTTGTATTTAAACACATATACACAGCGGATGTTGTATATGTTTTAATAATGATATGTATACACATAAAACGTCACCAACGTCAGCGTCAAGAGCTTGCGTCTAACGTCAGCGTCAAGAGCCTGCGTCTAACGTCAGCGTCAAGAGCTTGCGTCTAACGTCAGCGTCAAGAGCTTGCGTCCAACGTCAGCGTCAAGAGCCTGCGTCTAACGTCAGTGTTAAGAACCTGCGTCTAACGTCAGCGTCAAGAGCCTGCGTCTAACGTCAGCGTCAAGAGCTTGCGTCCAACGTCAGCGTCAAGAGCTTGCGTCTAACGTCAGCGTCAAGAGCCTGCGTCTAACGTCAGCGTCAAGAGCTTGCGTCTAACGTCAGCGTCAAGAGCTTGCGTCTAACGTCAGCGTCAAGAGCCTGCGTCTAACGTCAGCGTTAAGAGCCTGCGTCTAACGTCAGCGTCAAGAGCCTGCGTCTAACGTCAGCGTCAAGAGCCTGCGTCCAACGTCAGCGTCAAGAGCCTGCGTCTAACGTCAGCGTCAAGAGCCTGCGTCTAACGTCAGCGTCAAGAGCCTGCGTCCAACGTCAGCGTCAAGAGCCTGCGTCTAACGTCAGCGTCAAGAGCCTGCGTCTAACGTCAGCGTCAAGAGCCTGCGTCTAACGTCAGCGTCAAAAGCTTGCGTCTAACGTCAGCGTCAAGAGCTTGCGTCTAACGTCAGCGTCAAGAGCCTGCGTCCAACGTCAGCGTCAAGAGCCTGCGTCTAACGTCAGCGTCAAGACCCTGCGTCTAACATCAGCGTCAAGAACCTGCGTCTAACGTCAGCGTCAAGAACCTGCGTCTAACGTCAGCGTCAAGAGCCTGCGTCTAACGTCAGCGTCAAAAGCTTGCGTCTAACGTCAGCGTCAAGAGCTTGCGTCTAACGTCAGCGTCAAGAGCCTGCGTCCAACGTCAGCGTCAAGAGCCTGCGTCTAACGTCAGCGTCAAGAGCCTGCGTCTAACGTCAGCGTCAAGAGCCTGCGTCTAACGTCAGCGTCAAGAGCCTGCGTCTAACGTCACCGTCAAGAGCCTGCGTCCAACGTCACCGCCAAGAGCCCGCGTTCGACGTCAGCGTCAAGAGCCTGCGTCTAACGTCACCGTCAAGAGCCTGCGTCTAACGTCAGCGTCAAGAGCCTGCGTCTAACGTCGCCGTCAAGAGCCTGCGTCTAACGTCGCCGTCAAGACCCCGCGTTCCAGAAGCTTCCCGCGAGACCCCGCGTCCCAGAAGCTTCCCTCCAGACCCCCGCGTTCCAGAAGCTTCCCTCCAGACCCCGCGTTCCAGAAGCTTCCCTCCAGACCCCCGCGTTCCAGAAGCTTCCCACCAGACCCCGCGTCCCAAAAGCTTCCCTCCAGACCCCGCGTCCCAGAAGCTTTCCTCCAGACCCCGCGTTCCAGAAGCTTCCCTCCAGATCCCGCGTTCCAGAAGCTTCCCTCCAGACCCCGCGTTCCAGAAGCTCCCCTCCAGACCCCCGCGTTCCAGAAGCTTCCCACCAGACCCCGCGTCCCAAAAGCTTCCCTCCAGACCCCGCGTCCCAAAAGCTTCCCGCCAGACCCCGCGTCCCAAAAGCTTCCCGCGAGACCCCGAGTTCCAGAAGCTTCCCTCCAGACCCCGCGTTCCAGAAGCTTCCCTCCAGACCCCCGCGTTCCAGAAGCTTCCCGCCAGACCCCGCGTCCCAAAAGCTTCCCACCAGACCCCGCGTCCCAGAAGCTTCCCTCCAGACCCCCGCGTTCCAAAAGCTTCCCTCCAGACCCCGCGTCCCAGAAGCTTCCCTCCAGACCCCCGTGTTCCAGAAGCTTCCCTCCAGACCCCCGCGTTCCAGAAGCTTCCCTCCGGACCCCGCGTTCCAGAAGCTTCCCACCAGACCCCGCGTCCCAGAAGCTTCCCTCCAGACCCCCGCGTTCCAGAAGCTTCCCTCCGGACCCCGCGTTCCAGAAGCTTCCCTCCAGACCCCGCGTTCCAGAAGCTTCCCGCGAGACCCCGCGTCCGTCTCCTGGTCCATCCTGAACACTTGCCTCCACTCCAGACCCGCGAAGTGAGGCGAATTTTGAGTACACTGGATTATCCACACCGGCGAGAGCCCTCTTACACCAATTACTAGTGTGGACAAAATAATACTTGTAAAGGTGCCTATGTATCAGTTTAATATGGCGATTATGCTGAGCGTCCAGCAGGAGTTTGAGGCGTGCGTGTATAGATAATTGCTGGGTGCAAGGGAGGGAGGGAGAGATGGCTGAAGGGACGGGTTGGGGAAGGGAGGGAGAGATGGATGAAGGGACGGGTTGAGGAATGGAGGGAGGGGGGGAAGTCGTGGAGGGAAGGAGGAAGGGGGGGGGAGCGTAGGATGTGGAAAGGTGTTCAGGTGGATGAAGCAACAGGAGGCATTGATTGCAAATATTGGTGGATGGATGGATGGACAAATGGATGGGTGGATGGACACACACCCACACAGACACAAAGTGGAAATTTGAATAACTTTAAAGATATAAATACAAATATACACCCAGACCACCTTACTAGAACTGACAGCAGGAGGAAACAAGATAATAGCGGTGGTAACACCCCCCCCCTCAGCAAACCACAGGAACACCCAGACAGGATTATGAACCCACAAAGTATGCACAGATGAACTGCAAGCCTGCAACACCATTGCACAAAATGAGAGCTAAACTACTAATCATGGGCAACCTAAATCATGAAGAGAAAATGGGAATCTAGAAATCCCCATGATGGGTTATCTTGAGGTTATCTTGAGATGATTTCGGGGCTTTAGTGTCCCCGCGACCCGGTCCTCGACCAGGCCTCCACCCCCAGGAAGCAGCCCGTGACAGCTGACTAACTCCCAGGTACCTATTTACTGCTAGGTAACAGGGGCATTCAGGGTGAAAGAAACTTTGCCCATTTGTTTCTGCCTCGTGCGGGAATCGAACCCGCGCCACAGAATTACGAGTCCTGCGCGCTATCCACCAGGCTACGAGGCCCCTACTGGGGGAAGAAATCGTGGAGAGCAAAATTAGTAAAAGTTCTGGAGAGGAATTTCTTAACATGTAAAATATAACACGCAAGAAAGGGGGAAAGGGGGCAAATGGAACTAGTCTACTGGATGTGATTTTCCTCCAAATTGAGGAAGAAATCTAAAATTTATAGCATGAAAACCCCATTATGTCCTGGTCTATCAATATATGGTTGAATTAAAAGCCATGGACATAGGTAAGGGGGTCAGAGAAAGGAGGGTAGAGTACAGAAAACGGAACTACATGAGAGTAGAAGATGAAGGGACGACGACGTTTCGGTCCGTCCTGGACCATTCTCAAGTCTAGCCCCTTACACCTAAGTTATGCTAGTATACAACAGGCATAGAAATGAGAGTATCGCTTGACGTGAAGTATCGACTTGAGAATGGTCCAGGACGGACCGAAACGTCGTCGTCCCTTCAACTTCTAGTGTGTGGTCTGGTCGACATACTTCAGCCACGTTATTGTGACTCATCGCCTGCATGAGAGTAGAAGAGTACCTGGGTAATGTGCAACAGGAGGTTGACTTTAAGGTAAAGACAGTCCAGGAGATGGTGGATCAAATCTCACAAGAAATGTCAAGAGGCTGCCAAGATATCCATATAAAAATAAGGGTAAATTGTTTAAGGCAATACAACAAACCATTGTTCAATAGACAATGTTTAGTAGCCAAAACGGAAAGTAGAGGTTGGAGTGGAAACAATAGAGAGGACAGAAGAAAACCAGTATAGATGCAACAGCAATGAATACATCAACATAAAAAGATTAGCAGGAAAAAAATGATGAAAATGAATACGAGACTTCAAAATAATGACAAGAAAGATTGATACCTGGTTGATGGGGTTCTGGGAGTTCTTCTACTCCCCAAGCCCGGCCCGAGGCCAGGTCTGACTTGTGAGAGCTTGGTCCACCAGGCTGTTTTGCTTGGAGCGGCCCACAGCCTGGTTGGTCCGGCACTTCTTGAAGAAAACTATACTCTGCTCTCTCTCTACTGCATGTACTTCAAGGTGAGTACATGAATATGATAACACACTTACCTTCCCTGTGTTATCCAACAGCCTATCCAACATCGTGGTTGATCAGTCCAGCAACCAGGAGGCCTGGTCGACGACCGGGCCGCGGGGAAGCTAAGCCCCGGAAGCACCTCAAGGTAACCTCAAGGTAAGGTTCCCCATCATTAAATCACTACCAAAACACACTCATCACCCCGGCTCCATTAATTCAATTGCTTCGTAAATGAACCCATCATCTTTCGTTCCTAAATATAATGCGATAAAAACCCACACACTAAAATGCAATTATGAGTAATGATCCCCCCTTGCAGTCGTAAGTTACGCCAAGAAAAACGCTAAAAAACAGCAGTCTCCGTGGTGTAGTGGTAAGACACTCGCCTGGCGTTCCGCGAGCGCTATGTCATGGGTTCGTATCCTGGCCGGGGAGGATTTACTGGGCGCAATTCCTTAACTGTAGCCTCTGTTTAACGCAACAGTAAAATGTGTACTTGGATGAAAAAACGATTCTTCGCGGCAGGGGATCGTATTCCAGGGACCATAGGATTAAGGACTTGCCCGAAACGCTACGCGTACTAGTGGCTCTACAAGAATGTAACAACTCTTGTATATATCTCAAAAAAAAAAAAATAAAAATAAACAAAAATAATGTGCGTTAGAAGGGATTAAAAATGAGCTTGACGTCACCCTCTGTACCGCCTCGCCCGCGGCGGCAGACAGATCTGTGATCAGGTACTCCACACTGACAGCTTCAAGTGCGCTGAGTGTGTGTGTGTGTGTTGAGGCGCTTGCCCACTCAATCCTGTATATAGTAGCTAGCAAGATCGACCAATGCTGGGTACTTTGCTCAGCAGTTTACTCTAGCGGTAGCAGCTACGGCAACATCAGACACTCTGAGCCAAATTAGCCTTCTGTCTGTCTGTCACTCTTCCTCTGTCACTCTATGATGCTATGGTGAGACACCAAGGGCTGGGAGAGAGGTCACTCTCCGCACGCACCATCCAAGATGTCCGGGTCCAGGGGCCAGATTCACGAAGCAGCTACGCGGTGAAGAGCAGAGGTGCCATAGGCACAATCAGAGAACACTGTATAAACATCAGAGGTCCGCGGTTGTTCAACGTCCTCCCAGCAAGCATAAGAAATATTGCCGGAACAACCGTGGACATTTTCAAGAGGAAACTAGATTTATTCCTCCAAGGAGTGCCGGACCAACCGGGCTGTGGTGGGTATGTGGGCCTGCGGGCCGCTCCAAGCAACAGCCTGGTGGACCAAACTCTCACAAGTCAAGCCTGGCCTTGGGCCGGGCTTGGGGAGTAGAATTCCCAGAACCCCATCAACCAGGTATCAACCAGGTAACCAGGTACGCAAGTACTTACGAACGTGTACATCTTTCCTCAATATTTGATGACTTTAGTTACATTTATTAAAGAGTTTACAAGCGTGAAGACTTGCCAATCAACTGTTGTTATTGTTATAAACAGCCTCCTGGTGCTTCGGAGCTCATTAACTGTTTAATAATTGTAAACAAAGCCGCCAAAGATTGAGGAAAGATGTACAGGTTCGTAAGTGTTTGCGTAACTTCTTCGTGAATCTAGCCCCTTACACCTAAGTTATGCTAGTATACAACAGGCATAGAAATGAGAGCATCTCTTGACGTGAAGTATATCAAACACGCAACTTCCCGGAAGCGTATATCGTGGAGTATATCAAAACAATCATATACCGACACTTGGTTAGACCACACAGTATCAGGGACTGACAAGCCTTCAATGATACCGACACTTGGTTAGACCACACAATATCAAGGACTCTGCCAATCGTTCACTAAACTTGGTCAGGAAATATGAACGACTGAGCCGAACTTGGTAAGAGCTACACATCTTCCATCCCCAACCTATAAGTCAAATATTGACTTATATACGCGTTAATAAGTCAGTATTTGACTTACCAACCGCTCAACCAACTGGCAGAGTGAATCGTTCAAAATTTTCTTAAGACAAATTAAGATTATTATATATAATGGGTTAATACACAAGTCTAGGTAAGGTTTAGGCCTAGGTAAGGTTAGGTTAAGTTAGGCCTAGGTAAGGTAAGGTAGGGTGACAAGGTTACCTTGATTTAGGGAAGTGTTGATGCTATAGGTAAGAAGTGAGTGAACGAAGAACTCGAGTCCTATCTTCGACCGTCGTCAAAAACTGGTTTGGTGTGTGTTCGAAGACTAATGTGGTGAGTTCGAAGGTTGGTTTGGTGTGTGTTCGAAGACTAATGTGGTGAGTTCGAAGGTTGGTTTGGTGTGTGTTCGAAGACTAATGTGGTGAGTTCGAAGGTTGGTTTGGTGTGTGTTCGAAGACTAATGTGGTGAGTTCGAAGGTTGGTTTGGTGTGTGTTCGAAGACTAATGTGGTGAGTTCTAAGGATGGTTTGGTGTGTGTTCGAAGAATGATGTGGTGACTTCGAAGACTGATGAAAGGCGAGGAAGGCATCGGGTCACTCAAGGTCAGGTTGGAAGTGTACAAAACTGTGAATAATATCACGATATATTTCCCCGTATTTCTGGTGGCGTCGACCACGCCTTTCCTTTCCCAGTTCTTTAGCTGATGCTCTCCCTGCTGCTCCAGGGCTCCAGGAGGGGGGAAGAGAGGTGAATAAGCTTTCCCAGTTACGTTTCTCTTCGTGTCAGAGGCTTGACCTTCTTGCGGAAGTGGACCAAACCTCGATAGCAACTACAAGACGTCACGTTATTAACTACGAACTCTCCTGGACTGTCTCCAACGCTGCTTTACGCAACTGTGCGCGCGGTTCCAAGCGGTTCCTGTTGCTGCCGGCTAGAAGGAGTTTGTAGCCTGGCGGAGACCACGTTGCCCTGCGGAGGTCCGCAGTGGGAGGTCTAGAGAAGCACGCTACCATGCATCTTAATACCAGTATCGAGAGAGACCACAGCCGCGCCCCGGCCTCCACTCCTTCCTCGTTACCGTTCCCGCCAATATACCTGGTCGCGCGTTCCTCCTTCTTTATGTTTTGATATTTAAATGTTCCCGCCTTCCTTGCGCTTAGCTATATTACGTCTTCCCTCCCTCCACCCCTTTCCTTACGTTCTAATGTTAAGGAAAGAACACGACACGGACACGACAGACAACGCGACACCTACACGCTACGAAACACACGTAGACAGCAGACAACACGACACGAACACAACAGACAACACAACACGAACACAACGCGACACGAACACGACAGACAACAGAACACGAACACAACGCGACACGGACACGACAGACAACAGAACACGTACACAACGCGACACGAACACGACAGACGATTAACGAAACAGCTCAACACTATTTCCTTTCAGGACCACCCACACACGCCTCCAGGCACAGAACACCGTGAATTAGATTAGTCCGCGAAGCGCGAGAATGTCTGACCCGCGAGACGAGAGAATGCCGCGGAAGCCCGGAAGGAACCTAATGACAGCTGACAATCTTGGGGAATGGCGCGGACACGATTCTGCAAGCCTGCAGTTCAAGATATGCTCATTATTGTCTTAATGCAACCTGCACGTCATGCCGCCATGCCTGTGTCACGGGTGTTGCTGGTGCTGCACACCTTAATTTATGCAAGCCTAATTACATGTTGCAGAAAGCCTCACTTTAGCTGAGTCGCCCATCTTTTTCTCGTCCATTTTCTTTAATTATAACCCGGAAATGAAATGAATTTTCCTAATAATTGTAATTTGAGACAATTCCGCTCCACCGTTCATTTAAAAAAAAATACAGAGAGTGTGAAAAATTAATTAACTATGAACTACAAGTAATTAATTAGGGATAATCTTGACGCGAACCAGAGGTGATTGCAAGAACAGGAGCTCCGTCTTGCAAGAACAGGAGCTCCGTCTTGCAGGAACCGGAGCTCCGTCTTGCAAGAACCGGAGCTCCGTCTTGCAAGAACCAGAGCTCCGTCTTGCAAGAACCGGAGCTCCGTCTTGCAAGAACAGGAGCTCCGTCTTGCAGGAACCGGAGCTCCGTCTTGCAAGAACCAGAGCTCCGTCTTGCAAGAACCGGAGCTCCGTCTTGCAAGAACCGGAGCTCCGTCTTGCAAGAACCGGAGCTCCGTCTTGCAAGAACCGGAGCTCCGTCTTGCAAGAACAGGAGCTCAGTCTTGCAAGAACCGGAGCTCCGTCTTGCAAGAACAGGAGCTCCGTCTTGCAAGAACAGGAGCTCCGTCTTGCAAGAACCGGAGCTCCGTCTTGCAAGAACCGGAGCTCCGTCTTGCAAGAAGCGCCAAGCCATTACGACTATATATCATTTAGAAGGGGTCAGAATAAAGATATGCGATGGGACGCGGGGGAGGGGGGGGGGAAATAGTACCCAACCACTTACGGACGGTCGGGGATTGAACGCCGATCCGCATGAAGCTCTACCATCGCTCTACCGTCCACCCCAAGTGGTTGGACTTGTGTGTATGTGTTGAAGCACGATCCACCTCTCCGTGAGAGAGAGCACACAAGCATCTCCCACCACCACGCCTGGATGCTTAAGTCTTACTAATAAACGGCTCAAGCATCAGCCCTTCGGCGCGCGAGACAGCGTCGCTCCGCGCGCATCTTTAGCGCGTGTCGCAGGCGGCGACGACCCGCGTATACCCGCCAAACACACCGAAACTACGACGTTGGTACAACGTTCGAACAAGTTTTAACACCTCCTAACCAGTTATAACAACCAATATAGCAAGTTGTAACAACGTTCTAATACGTCATAAACACGTTAAGCCAAGATGTAACAACTTTATTACAAGTTGTAACAAGCGGAAAATAGAGACAGTTTCGGTTTGTGTTTCCTGGGTAGCGTCTGATTCCCGTCAGAGATGTCGGGGGAATTGGCGAAGTGGGATGGAATCCTTCTTCAGCCCCCTCGGTCTACGGATGTAGCCCATGATGTGAAAAGGTATAGCGAAGACTTGCAAACCTGTCGCTGGCGAAGACTTGCAAACCTGTCGTTGGCGAAGACTCACAAACCTGTCGTTGGCGAAGACTCGCAAAGCTGTCGCTGGCGAAGACTTGCA